TAATAAATATATACATATATATATATCATATATATATATATACATATATATATATATATATACATAAATATATATATCATATCCTATATAATATCGATGTATAGACTACATATATATATAATATATACATAATGTAATATATATATATATAATTATATACATAATATATATATATATAACATATATAAATATATGTATATACAATATATATATATATATACATATATAAATATATTTATATTTATATATAAACATATAAAAATATATATACATTATATATATCTACATATATATATATTATATATATACATATATATATATACATATCTATATATATAATATGAATAAACATATATATATATATATATCATATAATATAATATATAACATATATAGAATATATACATAAGTAGTATATATACTATATATATATACATAATATATATAAATAATTATATAATACATATATATATATATACATATAAAGTATATATACATATATATATATATACTATATAAATAAATATTATTACATAGATTATAATATACATATATAATATATATATATATATACATCTATATATATACATAAAATAAATATAATATACATATATATAAATATATATATAAATATACATATATATATATATATCTATATATATACATATAATATACATAAATATATATATAAATATACATATCTATATATAATAATATATATATACATCTATATTATATAAATACATATATATATATATATATATATACATATAGTATATAAATTAAATTAAAAAAAATTTTTGGTTATAGATATATATATTATGATATATATATATATCTCTATATATATATATATATATGAATATATTATATATATATGTAAAAATATAGTATATGTATATATATATCAATATGTATAGTAATATATATATATATATGTAATATATATGTATATATATATATATATATGTATATATATAATATATATATATATATGTATATATATATAATATATATATAATATATATATATATATGATATATAATATATATACAGGTATATAATAAAGTATAAATAGTATATATATATATATATTGTAATATATGTAAATATAATAATATATGTGTATTATATATATAAATATGTAAAGATATATATATAAATATGTATAAATATATATATATATATATATATATATATTATATATATAATATATATATATATATAAATATATAATAATATAATATATATATATATATGTATATATATATATATATATTTATATAAATATATATTATATTTAATATATATAATATAATATATATATATATATATATATATTATATATATATATATATAAAAGACTCACACTCTCTAATCACAACTCTAAACTCACTCACACACACACACACTAAACACCACACAACACAATCAAACTCACACTCACAGATCTAAAACACACACACACACACACACAAACATACACACACAACCTACACAACACAAACCACACACCCATACCTCACTCACACATGTAAACACTACACACATACACACACACACATAAACACACTACACACACCTCACACAACATCACACTCACACACACACTCACACACACCACACACAAACTCACACAACCACAAAACTCGACTCTCACTCACACACACAAAACACACCACACACTCACACACACACAAAGCATACACACACACACACTCCTCACCACACACACTCAAAACCACACCACTCACACACACACACACCACCACACACTCACGACACACATATACACACTCACACACAACACAGACACACTACACACACATGACCACACACAAACACACACACACACACACTCTCACACAAACACACTCTCACACAAACACACACAGCACCCAAACACACACACACACACACACACGGACACACACACACACACACACACAAACTCACACACACACACACACACCACACGATACACACTCACACACCATACACACCAACACACACACACACATACACACAAAACACACACTACACACATACACACACACACACACACCACTCACTCACACACACACACACACACACACACACACACTCACACACACGATACACACATACACACAACACACACATACTCACACACACACACACTCACACACACAACACGTCACACACACACACACCACTCACACACACACACAACACACACACCCCCCGCCCACCCCCCTCCAACACACACCACACACACCCACACGACACACACAACACACACACACACAGCCATACACAAACACACACACACACACATACTCACACATTCCCACACTTACACACACATACACACACATACACACACACACACACACAGCACACAACACACACAACACACAACCACACACACACACACACCACACACACCACTCACATACCACACACATACACTCACGACACACACCGATACACACACATACACCACACATACACACACATACAACACTCACACCCACATATATACCACACACCACACACACACACACCACACACACACACACACACACACAACACAGCACACACACACACACACAAATACACCCTTTAAACCAAAATACAATAAAACAAATAATAACCACCGCACCAACATTCCACTGCCGACCTAGCCCACTCTCCCTACACACAAGCTATGATCTCATGCGGTAGACCCCCTAGCCAAAGCATTGAAAGCCCAAGCTACATGCACCGCGGGTTCGGCGGCGCGTTATAACCCTTGAGCCACGGCGTATATCTATATACAACAGTAAAACTAGAGACTATAGTAATTTTTTTATTATACTCTGCGTATTTCTTTTTTTTCACTGGGATAGAAGGACATACATGTCATGTTCACTGTGATTTCAGCTTAATATTTGTTTCCAAGTAGACAGCTCCACGAGACTGCTGTGACCCTCCTCCTTGCGGAAGGTGACACACACCACCAATGGAATACAAAGAATCCTCCACGTATTCATAGCAGGGTAAAGTGTACAACCAACATGCAGGAGTGCCCGATGATGAGTCTGTCCGATCATCTCTCCTACTGAATATACATGGAGCATTCTTTGTTTTTCTGGGTGGGTATCTCCTTTAAGTTATTACATTATTGTTGTTACCCTGCAATTTCCCTAGTACTTTTCATGCCCTCCCCTGCTATCAAGGCCAAGAATGTGAGGGTATGGGGACTACCATAGCATAATTCCAAAATATGAGCAAACTAGTGGATGAGAGGAATCCTTTGATACCAAAATCGCTGTGATCGGTTATGCGAAAGTATTGTGAAATTTACCCACAAGACATCAATCATATAGGCTTACACCACAATATTTGAGTACTGTATGGCTGTATGGGACCCCTATATGAAACACAACACTGAGTAGTTCAAACAGGTCAACATTAGGGCAGTCAGTCTATTACACACAAGTACACACTTATACCTGGTATAACAACTAGCATAAAAGAATGGATAAACATGAATCTGCTCGAGACAAATAATACCACACACAATCATGTACAGGATCACAACATCATGGACACCAACAAACAGGAAAGGGGGAAAGTGCTGTGCATATTTTGATTTTTTTTTTTTTTTAATGTCTCTGCACACAGATGGCTCTACTAGTGCTTAGCCACAAAGGAGTCAATTAGTAGGCCTTGTGATCTTAGCTAATTTCACCTTTAATTGAATCGGTAGGAAAAAAATATTTTTTCATAATGCTATGAATATCAATGGTGTTATTTTTATTATAGACATTATAATTACTATAATGTTATAGACATTAGTAACACCAAAATAAGATAATGTAAAACATTTTTGTAAATCGAGAAAAGGGGTAAACAGGCAAGAGAGGCAGTACCGCTATTTGGCTCATTGGTGACTTAGTACAAGTGTAGCCATCTATGTGTAAAAACAATTAAACAAGTAAACTCACAGTGGGCATGGCATGTATGTACATGCCATGACTGTCTGATTTGGGTTAATTTGTAAGTGAAGGTTATAAGTTGCGCCAGCCACAAAGGGTAGTAGACAAGGTTGTACAAGGGAAACACTTCATCTTATGGTATCTATTTGTTCCTTTTGTGGACATTATTTTGTCATTCTATTTGCTTGTTAGAGCTTCATCATATAAAACTGTAAAAAACGTCAGCGGCTCCTTAAAATGGCCAAGTACTGTTTACAGTTGACTTATAGAAAATGAGATAGCAAAAAGAATGTTAACCCAATACCAAAGGGCATGACGTGTACGTACGTGCTATGCCCACTGTGAGTACTTGTTTGATTGTTTTTACACATAGATGGCTACACTTGTACTAAGTCACCAGTGAGCCAGTTTCGAGTGCTGCCTGTCTTGCCCGTTTACCCTTTTCTTTGATTTACGAAAATATTTTACATTATATTATTTTGCTGTTATTAATGTTTATAAAATTATAGTAATTATAATATTTATAATAAAAATAACACCATCAATATTCATAGAACTAGTAAAACATACGTTTTTTCCGCCAATTCAAATCAGGTAAGGTCACAAGGTGTATTTGGTACACATATAGATCCTTATATAAGCTATAGGATAGCTAGATGGAAAGCATACTTCATGTATAAATGAACCCAAAACTCACATTTTTGAAGAAAAAAATCACAAATTATTTCTTCATACATCATATTTTCTGATACTGGTAAAAGTGGACATACACAAACTCATATCTATGTGCAATGTCATTATCAAATGCCATAGGTAAGATTGCAACAAGCTAAAGTCAATATAGGTGTACCTGGCACTAATTACCTACATCTGTAGTTTACCTGTTGGCTCTTATGCCCTTGCACCTCCAAAGAAATAATCTGGTTTTGGCTCAAACAGTCCTTTGGTAGTTTTCTCATTCTTGTACGTATAACACAGGCTAGCTAACTCACTTAGACCATTTAACCCCCAATCATTTGGGACGATCCCCTTAACCTAATGCCTCAAGGCCTGCTAAACAGCCAAACTCCAGGGCACACAATAACATGGCTGGTTTGTTTTCATGCCATATATGCACCAACTAATTGAATGAGGCTTTAAATACTTTTTTGGCCTAAACTCCTACAAAAGCATCCAGCCACCACAATGCAAAGACTGCCTGGTAGAAGGGTTATAACTGTGACTGGAATGAGATAATCATGGCATGACATACATGTCTCCAGGGAGATGGCCATTCTCAGCACAGCATGAACATGCATGTCATCTGAAACCAATGAGTTAATCTGACTATGTAATGGATGCTGCATTTGGATGCAAAAGTTACCTTGTAGTATTATAGGCAAAGAGGCCATGTTTCATTTTTTTTACCAGTAAATTAAAGTAATAATGCTAGGGAAAGTCTCTACATTTACACATATAGTAGTGGACAGAAGTAGCATATTATGTGTGAGAAACCTGTACATAACAAAAAGATCAAATTCTTTCAGTGAATTCATGTAAGTTGGAAAAATACAAAGAAGTGTATAATTAACTGTGACTTACACTTAATGAGAGATTAAATATTTGCATATTACCAATCATACAAGACCTGACTTTCACAGGATTGGTTGACTATGTGACATTTTTTAATATAAACATCAAGAGAAGTGGCAGTAGTACAAAATATGTAATCCATAATGATACTTACAAAGTTAACATAAAAAGTAAAAGCAAATGGGGGGGTGAAAAACAAGGCAGACATTTGATGCAAGCGGCTATCCGAGTATTCGCTAAATGATCTCCCCTACAGACAGAAGTCCACAGGGGCAGTATAACCAGTAGGGCAATACCTGGAAAATAAATCTGTTAGAGTATGACAATAGAATTCCTCAGAAAAGAAAAAGAAAAAAAAATCTTTATTTTCACTTCTCCACTTCAATCATCCTTGTTCTACATATAAACCCCCCCAA